TGTTCTTGATTCCTGCGTAGTTATTTCAAATCGACTTTATAGCTATCATTTGCATACTTGTAACTATGCAGCTTGCATACGAAAATTATGAACACTCACGACAAAGATATCGCGTTTAAGCCTAGTTTCAATAGACATTGAATAAATAGAAATCTTTTAGTATAAGACTATTAATGATATGTAAATCTTAACTAAGCCGTTAAATTTTTGTTAATATCGTATAATATTGTTTCGTGAATAATTCGTTGGTCGTAAGCCATAAATATTACTTTTGAAATGAGGTTCGCTTGTCATTTGTCAAAACAAGTGACGTCATAGATAATATTTTAATCCTGAATAATTAGTTTTTTACTTTCTTATCATCATATTGAATCTGCAAGCGAGATAAATGTTATCAGTCACCATTTTTGGCGAATATTTTTCAAGCTTTTGATAATTAATATTTTTCCTTATTAACAAAAACGTGTTTCTAAATTATTCAAAACTGTAAGTTGTTTGATTATTAGCTTAGTGTTTATTCAATTGAATACCTACTTGTAAAATAATATTCGGTATTTGCGCAAAACCAACGTTTACTTTAATCGGCTTGGTAAATAGTGGGACGGATGCCGATACTAACGAATTCTTAATATTTGTGGTTAATATTATTCACTAGAAAATTCTTCAGTTCGCTGCCAATTGGTTTCGTTGTTATATTGTAAAAGAATATTCTTATTCTTAATACATATAATATGAGATAAAAATAATTAAATGCTATACGGAAAGCGAAATTGCAGACAGGAATGTTTTCAATGACACCTTGACTTCCGTTATCAATTATTGGCTTGGCCTAAAGTTATTTTTTCAACCGCAGAACATGTGGAACATATTTAGTATGTTATTGCGATGAGGTTCAAATCAGGTTATATTATTATCCGAGGCACTTCGTTTTTTGACCACGGAATGACCTTACCTTAGGTCGAGCCTTTGTTTGAATGTAAAGTTTCAAGGTATTTCTTTGTTATCAAATAGTCCAATTTTGCAAGGTTTGCATATAAAAAAAATGTCTTTTTATTGAAGGTCGCAATTGTTATAACACCAGTGTCCCAAGTTTTTGTTAGAATTATTATCATATTTTTATCTGCGTACTGCTTTGTCCTCTAATTGAAAAGTCAATTAACAATCATTAGTACAACACTAACAAGTTTCATTCTTCAAATATAAACCTCCTTAGTCGTGACACCTTACCAACTCGAAGATGTATTTGGCATCTACATTAAACCCTCAAGAGACTCGTCGTCCGACCGGTCATCTCTTTTGTATAAATAGCGGGCCGTTGAGCGACCAGTCGTCCAACTAGTTGAATGTTGCAGAGCACGAATCTAACGCGTGCAACCCGCGTGCTCTGGTGGGACCGCGAGGCAAACATAGGTTAGAACGAGATGTAAAGAAAACATGGACGCTTGTTCACCGTTTTATGTTTTGTGAGGTTATGTTGGTCTATTTTCGTTAGCGAGGAAATCATTTGCAGATTTAATATTACTACCCACTTTCACTATTTCGTCATGACTGCTTTTTGGTTGATGTTTTCGCCTTTCGGTGTCTTGTAAGAGCTTTCTTTGTAACAAGTGTAGCCCATTTCTACCTATTTGGCCATTCTCTTCAATATTTCTTGTATCAAGTTTATGAACATGTCTCCATTAAGCATCATCAAATTGCAATAAGAAATGCATTAGAATTCGACACGCTTTGTTGCTGTTCAAATTGAGTGATTCGCATTTCTTTATATTTTCTATAATTACAGCTTCGATACAAAACAGGAAAAAGACTCGTCAACAGAAGACTGAATGATATCGTGAATTAATACGATATTAAAAGAATCAATTAATATAAGTGGGTGTTGTATTTCCTCTTTGCTTTTTCTATTCGGCAAATAAATACCTTTTCCGCGTGCGAAGTTCATGCGTTAGAATGAGTGACATGTCCGGGATATAGAAGAACTAAATTTTTGTGACAAAATAAGAAATTGCACAAGTCCTACATATGAACCAGACCGCGTCAACTATGTTATATCGTTCAGTTGTACTGGAGATGAGGTTGCTGCCTGTGCAGTATTTTCTGTATAGAACAGGGCAAATGGGCAGCAGTTAAGTGACACACACACACCGCCCTCCGCACCTGTCCCTGTGCCCATGGATACTCAATGTCAGAGGGCTCGCAAGTTCGTTTGCGACCTATATTAGCATAGACTTATGTTCTACGCTAGCATAAAGAAATATTCATAATACCTTAATAAACAAAGTCAAAACAGCGTTGTAACATTTATAATTACCACCCCAAAGAAAGCGTCTTCTTATAATTCGTGTTTGTCGTGAAAAAGAAGTAAAGTTGGTCACAACGGGTTTTGGTTCTTGGGAAACAATTTTGTACACCGCCATAATTATAATTACGGACAATTGTGTTTTTCTGCCGAAGTTTCGTGTACCCTTATTCAGATTTATTACTTGGAAATTTCCTGAGGATTTTACTTAAATCAATAGATAGGTTTTTCCGGAATATTAAAAAAGGTTGTCATCAAATCGGTCATTGACCCCTGTACTGTTGGATCACGTTGTGTCGCTACTTGTCGTGCGCATAACCTTATTTTGATATACAAAAATATTCAGAAAGCGTTTGCGTCGGAGAATCATCAATTATATCAAGAGTCCCGGACATTGGCTCCCAGAAGTAATATTCATAATTTCCCTATTTTAGTCAAACCAAATAACTAATAAAATTAAAAGGAGACGCGATCACATCTGAATTCTATTGTTTAGTAGTGTCAAAAAAAAAATCTGTCCTTAAAAATATTTATCATTCTTCTGACATAATACCTTAATGATCACGAGATACAAGCATGCCACAGTTGCGTCACACACCTATTTAAAAGACACTTTAATCACAGTCTTACAATGTAATTCTAGGATATCTAAATGTATAAATTCCAATTTAAATTGTAGAAATAAAGACGCATGGAAAATATATGAATGGCCATAAGTATAATAAAAAATTTAATAAAATTCACGATCCTTGATCCTATTTTTATAAAATTATCAGAATTTTGTTTCGGAAAGTAGGTTCCACCGAGAAGATATTTTTTTTTAAATCCGAGATGGAAGAGAATTTGCTCTCAAAAGTTGCAGGGGTATGTGGGACTCGACCCAGGCCAATCTCTGCTATTCAGAGACTGGGTGAGCAATACCCACTATAACCAGTTGTGACCACCTCGTTACAGAGGATCCGGGGTCGCTCTCGCATTCTACCGGGCCTTCAACGGCATGTTACGCTCAAAAACCTCCGCTGCAGTACACACTACATAGGAGGCAGGAGATGGGCATATCTTCTTCTATTTACACCGCGTCTTCTAACCCTAGGATTCGTCCTAAAGCGCTCACTCTCTCGTTCTGCCGTCTCCTTCTGTAGATTACATGATCACAGAAGGATACCGCTGCATTCCATACCTCGTCACTGCCGACCATTTTTTGGACAACACAAGGTCCATCATAGAACAAAGATTATGACGTAGCTAAGACCACTGCGGACAATCCTCCAACGATTGCTGTGCCGTGCTTATTTGCGCCACACTTCAAGCAGTTCAACCATCGAGAAGGAAAATACTTGGTAGTTAGGTAATAGCAGCTAAATAATAAAATAGTCACTTATGAACAAAGAATAATTAAAAATATTTTGCGTAGTATTTTTCAAGAAATAGGTCGCATATTATTGTTCATTGTATGTAAAGCAATTTAATTTTGATATTACGTCGCACAAACAAAACACTCGTGGTATTATTTGATATCTTCATTGTCATAGTTATCGCTGGCTTCAAGTTACCGACATATAGTAAACATTGAACAAAAACTCCATTAAAGTTTTGAATCGTGCGATTCTTGACGCTAATTGACCAATAAGATTTCTAGCTAACAACATTTCACACGCATTTAATCATCTAAGGAACTCAATGTAGTTTTGAGAACCAAAAAAAAACCAGCCCCCAAAGGCCTTTAAAAAAAGAGCATACCAATTCTTAAAAGACTGGCAACGCACGCGAGCCCTCTGGCATTGAGAGTATTCATGGCGGTATCACTTAACGTCAGATAAGCCTCCTGCTCGTTCTATAAAAATATTATTGTATTTGAGAACAAACTTTTACATAAATAAGTATCTTATCGCGTTTGCCTTCTGTAAACGTACGCTGTGTAACTATGTGCATCTATTTATCTCACAAACATTCTGCCTGCCGTATACATAATATAACTATTTAAATGTTATACAATGTGGTAATATATTATGGGCCGTAAACAATTCCAAATTGATTATGTATAAACCTATTGCGCGTTTACTCAGCTATTGACAACGACGCATTATTGTGTGAAAAACATTTTTATTGTTTAGTTTATATTACTAACTGAAATAAAAGTAATTTATTTCCAACACACAAATATACAGTATTTACAATATTCTTAACCTGTTAGTTATTATAATAATTGAAAAATTGAAAATTAAAACAAATTAGAAAAGTTTGGTCCCTGTGGCAGTGTATAGTGTAGTGTGTGTTGGTAATGCTCGCATACTTATTCGATATTACATTCTTGTTTTTTTTTTTTCAGTTCGTAGTTATCCTTTTATTAAATTACCAATTGACCTTTCCAAATCGCGTGATAGGTGAAACTAAGATGTGTCTTGGGTCGACTTTCTCAAAATTACATACATATTTCATAACACAAACCAGTTTGTTGTCGTCTACTATTATTAACATCTATAAATCAAACAGAGCCTTTACAAAAAACTAGTCCTAATTAAACTTGCGTGCGTTGTCGAAATACGACATTCAACGCCCTCTAATAAGTGCGGCCATTTCGGAGTAACTACTATTACTATCCGTGTCCTAACGTGCATTAGTTTACATAAAGAAAACGACAAAGAATGTCTATGCCAAATGCTTTTTTTAGTATAACTAACCCTATATTTCTTCATTTCAGGTATGCGAGAAACTGGAAATTGGCGCAGAAGCTGATTATTTCGGCCTAAGCGTCTGCTCAGGATCAGGGCCCGGAAGATGGTTAAATCTTCGGAATCCTCTCGATCCACACCGCATCCCTGGGGGACGACTTGACTTGCGAGTCAAGTTCTGGGTGCCGCCACACCTTTTGATAAACGAACAGACGCGACACATCTTCTATCTACAGGCTAAGTTAGACCTCATAGAGGGCAGATTGGTCGTGGCCGACCAGGAAGTTGCCAGGCGGCTGATCGCTTACATTGCTCAAGCTGAGACAGGAGACTGTGACCCCGATATGCCTCCACATGTTTACGAGAAGTGCGACAAAATTGGACCGCAGGGTGAAAAGGCCGAAGATCACGTGGAAAAGATTATAGATTATCATTGCGAGATAGCTGGAATGAGAGCGTCCCAAGCCGAATACAGACTTCTCAAAGAAATATCAAAATTGGAATCCTTCGGAGAGGAGTTGTTCTTCTGCAAACCAGTCACGCAGAGTAACAATGCGCATAACCTGTACTGTCATCTACTATACCATAAGCAACAGACAGAGCAGCCGAGGGCGAGGGATGAGCAAGAGATTGATGGGGGAGCGACTGTGGGGTGCTTGACGTCTGGGCAGAGCGGCGGCGGATGCGGGTGCCGGCTGAGCACGTGCGTAGGGGTCGGACCCCATGGCATCGTTGTCTACAGGCCGGCTTGTAATGGAGATCAAGATATTGGAGTCGAAAAGCAGAGGTGAGCTTACACAAACTACACGTTCATAATCAATATCATATTTTACTTCTTTAGGTTTCAAAGTACTAATCAGCATTAAAAAATCACGTAGATAATTTTAAATGCCATTTGTATATTTTATTATCGTTTAAATCTCGTTATTTACAGCTCTGTCAGATAAACATTGTCGTGATCTTATAATGTATCGTTTATTCATCTCTACGCCTTCTAGACTGTTTTGTGAGCGCTAATGTCACCTTGTCAAGTTTGAACAAAATTTGGAACCGGTCTGTGCATAATGTTTTGCTAAAAATAAATTATTCCTACTATAAAACGTTCCGATAACTTGTGTTAGAATATAGATGTAATGAACGATCGATCATTGTTTATATAGTTATTCTGACTTTTTTTTTCTCGGAACAGTACCAGCAGTTTGTTAGTATGTAGCGGAAAATAATAAACGGCTTAAATATAAAATTCTTTTCTCCCACTTCGATTTTGATCCCTTTGGAGTGGACACAGGCGCTAATTAAAGATTTAAGTTGGTGCCCGGTACTACCGGTGACCCTAGAGATGGTACTTTCCTCGCTCAACGAATAAGTATCGCAATACAGCGAGGAAATGCCACTTTTGAAATTTGTTTTAATTTTCTATTTTAATTATTATTGTTATTAAGTACTATGTAGGTAAGAAAATTGTAAATATTGTACATTTGTGTTGGAAATAAATAAGATTTTCCTTATCATGTTATAGATAGAAAGTCGGTTACCTTGTTTTCCACTGTCTTATCATATTGTTTTGCAACAGGCTCTAGATTGCGTTTTACATTTAATAATTACCTAGTAGCAATCACTTAAAGAGTGAATAACCCAAGACAAGTTTATGCCACAAAAACCAAAAAGTAAAATTTTCGGGTAATAAACACAAAAATAGTATAATTGTACTTTTAAATAATTCTTAAAATAATAGTTGATATAAAAATTAAGTTTGCGTACGATATGATACTAATAAACATAGTAGCTCCAACGAATAATAATTCATTTAATATTAATTATTAATCAGTTTTATCCTGTTTGCTTATAAAACCAAGGATACAACATTTGTCCTTACAAAGATGGTGCAATTTTATATAATTTAATTGCTTTAAATATACATACTTTTAATATATTATTAGCAAAACCATCAAGATGAATATAAAATTAATAAATATTAGAACCTCACATATGAAATTCGCGTTTTCTCGTACGGCCACTTTAACCGGAAATATATCCTCTTTGGTTAGGAATTCCAAATTAAATTGTTTACATCTATTTATTCTTGCTGTAAATTAATAAAAATTCAACACTGATGGGACTGTCGAACCCGCCTTCAAAGATTCTATTGATTCCCGTCCGAATGTTTATTTTAGTAAAGGGATCAATGAACAACCTATAAGATGGCAATAGTACATACTTTGATTAATTAAATATATTGTATTTAAAAAAAAAAACTTGTTCCTCCCATACAAAACGCCAATTTCATATACGTAAGGACCTAATATTATGTAACTAAATGTATACTTACCCAATTATTCATTCTGAATACTTGAAAAACATTATGATTCGCGTTATTAACTTTTATTTGTATCCTAAATATACCATGAGTCACGAAAATAAGTATAAAAATTCATTATTATATTAACCCGAAATTACACATAAAAAAACCGTATATTCATTTAAAGTGGTGAAATGGCTTTAAATATCTGTAATATACAGCAATCATAAAATGTTGTTTAAAGATTCTTGTCTTTAATTCCAGCATCCCATACACGGCGATTCACCGCGCTCAGCCACTCAGGCGCATCTTCCAGCTATCATACGTGACGGACGAGGGCAACGAAGCAACTTTTCACGTGAAAATGACGACGTCGGGACAGGCGGCTGCGCTGTACCGCGCCGTTACTGAGAAACACGCCTTCTTCTGCTGCGAAACTGTCCGAAGCGACGTCACTGAGCAGTTCATAAGAGATTTAAAGGTGAATTTTAAGTTTTGCATACTAGGTTGCTTATATCAGAAATGAGTCAAAAATATTCGTAAAAGCATTTAAAATTTTCTAAATTATATCAGTTTCTTTTAAATTAAGATATTATTGCTGGATAAATATTTTATAATGTCTTTGTTATTATTAACAATTATTAAAATAAAATTATTTTCCATATTATACTATATTTTATTCCACCAACGGACAAAATGTGGAAATATATTATGTGGGGACGTAAATTTTCGCTGGTTAATTAAATTGTATCATTTTATATACATTTTCCTTTTTGTCTTGAATATTAAAAATAGTAATTACTTTATTATTCTGAATTATGATGAGTAAGTGAGTGAACATGAGTTCACGTACGATTTGGGTAATTAATATTATTCAAGTTTTATTGCCCTCTGCGAAGGCGTGGCTCAATAAAAATAAACATTATAATAACTACTCCAGCCATTAATTTAATATCGTCTGAAACAAAAAAGTGTACAGTAGCAGTAGGTACCGCAGGAATGTCTTACTTTCATAAATGAATTATTAAACAATTGTGAATTAAGACTAAAGACAACCAGAGATTTAAAAAAATAAAATCATTGGCGCTACAACCTTTTTAGGTCTTGGCCTCAGATTTCTGAATCTGTTTCATGATCATTTTTAAATCTAATAGGCAGCCTCCAGTGCCTGACACACGCCGTCGACTTTTTGGGGTCTAAGACATGTCGGTTTCCTCGCGATGTTTTCCTGCATCGTTCAAATGTTAAATGCGCACTTAGAAAGAAAGTCTATTGGTGCGCACAACCGGGGATCGAACCTACGACCTCATGTATGAGAGTCGCAAGCTGAAGCCACTAGGCCAACACTGCTCTAACTAAAAATAACCAGAGATTGGCAGAGAATAATAATTGTAATTGAATTTCAGGGCACAATAGCGTCGATATTCAACGACTCCACCACCCTAGGCCGGCGGTACGTGTTCGACATCCGACGCACGTGTCGCGAAGTCCACGACAGAGCCAGACGAGAAGCTCACTCCAGGGTTGAGCACGAGCCACGCACCAGGAGACGCTCAGCCAGCGGGACTGGAGACACGGTAAGATCTTGTTCTGCTTCTTTATTTCTTCCTTCAGTCTCTGCTGATGTCTTTTACTCAGCTGAAAGATTGTCTAAATTTAATTTGATCGTCGATATCTCTATATTTATTTTTAGCCCTAAATTATTCCCTGATACACTAATATCTAGTATGTATCAGGGACCCTCTAAGGTAAAGGCTTCCTCCTAGGCCATCTTTCTCTATACCGAGCTATTCGGATCCATTGAGGAGGACCCGTGATTTTTTTGATGTCATCATCCCAGCGTAGGGTCTGCCTCTCTGCTCTCGGTTGCCTGGTGGGCCTCTCCATGTTACTGATTTCGTCCACCTGTGATCTGTGAGGAGTGCTACATGACCCGCCCACTTCCACTTCCGCCCTCATCTCTATAATTATATAATTTGTAATATCTATTGCAGGAGTCCCGCTCGCGTTCGCGAAGTGGTTCTGGGCTGGCCTGTCGCGTCTGTATGGACTCGGCTATCGACACGCTGTTTCTGCCTTGCAGACATGTCGTTTGCTGCGAAAGTTGCGCTCCCAGGTAACGGTTTGCTCATTACCCCACTTTTTTTTTATTATCATGAGTTGTCAAATTGCGTTTAAGTTATGTTCAAAAGAGACCTGTGCTTAAAACCGAAACATAACGAAGAATATGCAATCTCTTCATTAATTAAAAACTGCAAAACTTTTGTATAAGGTAACCTAACCTAGAAATTTAATTTAAAAATGTTTGTTTGTTTCCAGATGTAATCGTTGTCCACTCTGCCGTGGCGAAATAGAAAAGCTGATGCACATCTTTCTTCCAGTGGAATATCAGAAGAGTACCGGAGTGATCATTAAATGAACAAAAAGCGCCTTTGACGACGATCCCCGTACGAAACGTTCATTTCCCCCGAACTCGTTGGACGCCCGCCATTTTGGACGTGTCAACTTGCGACCGGCCGCAGACTTGATCTGTTGGTGATGGAGTTATGAGATATCAGTGACGCTAATGTGGACGACTAGTGTGTGACTGTCTAGTCATGAATGACTATGTTTTGCATTTTTATTTCGGAATGATTTTGCCCATTCCAGTCAATTAAAAAAAATGACAATAAAAACAACTGCCACTTTTATTGGCCCTTTCATAATAAGGTACTAATTATCGAGTTATTAGTAATGAAATTCTAGTGTTTACCTAGTTATATTATTAATAAAATAACCAATAAAGATTTCCTTCGTTTTAGAAGGTATTTTGTATAACTTTGTGATACAAATTAATAGTAGTTTAACCAAAAATGTATGTTAAATCTTGAACATTTTGCATTTCTTTATATTAACATTATTTTTTCTGTTAATCTAATCATATCAATAATTTATTTATAAGCGTAAGACCTATGGTCTGTAAGATTATTTGTGAAATGTGTAATATAAAAAAACTTTCAACAATACAGTTTTATTTTTTATGTCCTCACATATGACTACGGTCGACCGAAACGAACACTACAGATTTTAGACTAAGAAAAGAAATATAAATGATTAGGAGCTAAAACACAACTTTTCATACCTAGAACGGACTCATTACATTTGCAAACAACTACTGTTCAAAACAAATAAAATCTATTTATATAGTATTGCTTTGACTTCATTAAACTATTACACCCAAAAATACAACGAACAACTAAGAAAGTAATTTTATTGAACAATATTGAAGAAGATCCAATTTTATACCAGTCAATATTGAATTCCAGTGAAAATGTGAAAGGTGAAAACGGATAAGAGCCTATGCTCTTTCTTCTAATTCTATTATCTAAATATGTTTATTTTAATTTAATACAGCGCGCAAGGTAAGCCTGCGAATAAATTTTTAAACAACGATATTATTTTTGTTAATGCTACATCTAGCGGAGTTTTTGAAGAGTGTCAAGGAGTGTCAGAATTTTATGACTTGAATAATTTAATTTATATAATTGCAATATTTATTATTTATGTCCTAATTTCTGAAGCTATGCAATTTTAATAACATTTTTGCAATTAATTAAATAGACAAATATACAACAGATAGTAAAAAACTTTTATGTCGGATTCTCATATCCAAGAAGAATAAATTATATTGTCGATGGTTTTCTTTTGTATAAGAGTTACCAGTTCAGAAAATTTACACTCGTATTGACTTTATTGGAACATCAATTTATTTATATGATGATAATATTATTATTGTGTTAGCTCTAATAGTTTTTAAATAAAAAAGCAGTATTTTAATAATAAGAAAAATGCAGCCTGTAAAGGAATATATGCATGGTTATAAAGTAGATATGGTTATCCTTTAAAATAATACAATATAAAGAATTACAATTATTAATAAAATTATATTATTTTTGTTGAATAATGACGACGGAATAGAAATGTTGTAAGGAGTTCTATCTTTGGAAAATGGCAACTCAGTGTTTTTTTCGTACGAACTCAAGATGGCGGCCAATTTATGTGAACGCAAGGACGAGTAGAAAACTATTTCGCGTTCTCATGTTGAAATTATTGTTTTTATTGTGATATTACCGTATATATCATTATTTTAACTAAGCGTATGTGTTTTTGTGCTATATGTTATGAGTTATCGATGTTTTTGAAGTCATATGTGCAATATTGCTATACAAGGCATAAAAAATGTTCAGTGTTCAATTGTGATTATTATTTATATAGTGATAGTTCTCCTTTGGGCGTAACGATGCGTGTTATTGGATGATATTGGTGATTTCACGTAAGTACATAGTCTATTTTCATATTTAAAATTTAAGTCCGATGTCCTCTGTTCTTAACCTATTTGTCTAAATAGGGTAGTTTTATTAGCGTGGCTGACGCTGTGTTATCGCCGGTTGTCCGCAGCTGTTTTTTAGTATCTTCTAAAAGGATCTATTCTCCTTCTAAATACTTGTTACATAAAAGAGAACCCTATAAAGTTGTATGATTATATGTTCACTACTTTAATTGGTTTTTCATATTAAAGTTATAACTTAACAGTAGAAAATAAATCTATACTAATATGTGACTGGAGAAATAATATGTGACCTAAGTAAAAAGATACATCAAAATTTTCTGCACCTTAAACTATTTCTTTGAAACTTATCATTGGGTGAGATATTAACTTATTTCTAATTTGTTTATTTTTATCAGTAAAATTTCAATGAATTGTAAGTAAAGTGGTAGTTTGTTTGAAATTTAATTTTTATACTATTTTTACAAGTAATATATATTCTATCTATCTATTATGAAATCTATCTACTATGAAATATATTATCCTAGCTAAATAAAAAACAAAGTTTAGGTAATTTTTTAATTGAGTAACCCTATAAAAAACATAACTGATCACATAAAAAGTAACAGCAAATGTTTGACCTCATTTAAATAAAACAAAAAAAAATTACAAATTTTAATATTCTCTGAAACATGCAATGGTTGATTCTTTAAATTGATTTATTGAGCCATAAACATGCAGTTGTGGCAGTTATAAATTTTAGCGCTCCACTTTCCACCCATTGCTATATTCATTATATCTATATACTGCAGATATGCAGCAGATTATAGTAGGTATTAATGTTAAGTCCTTATACTTACTTTAAACCAATAAAGTTAAAAGAAATTACAAAAAAGAGTAAGATCAAGAATCACATTTTTTATGTTTTGTCAGGAATAAGAAAAAAAACAACATATTGTTTAACAATGAATTATTAATAAAGTTTACTAAAAAGGCCATAGGCTTAGTCATATTCAGAGTTAGTGAAAATGCTTCAATTAACACAATGTAAAACCTATAGTAATAAAAATGTAAAACTTAATTAATAAATTACAATGAGATCTACATATTACGTAGTCGGTCCCAAAGTTCTGTCATAAATGGAAATAATGATAAAAACAAAAGTACTGATCAGTTTGTAATGAGTGATATATCAATTCTTAGTACATTAATTAAGGAATAAAAAAAGCATAAAAATATTCGAAATAACCTCCCTCATTTTTAATACAGGCCCTTAAGCGTCGCGGCCAGTCGTCTATCGCAGCACGCACCATATTCGTGTCGATTTCAGTCACTGGTTTTTTTAAAGATGACTTCAGATTCTCCAAATTTTCATGAGGTTTATCACAGACCTTCCTCTCTAAGCCCTGTCATAATTTCTGGTCCAAAGGATTAAGGTCCGGACTGGAGGAAGGCCAATCCTCATGTCTAATTAAGACGATGTTTTGACGCTCAAACCAGGCTTTAGTGGTCTTGGCTTTGTATGCAGACGAGAGTCCTGCTGGAACACGAAGTGATGTCCCGCAAATAGGGTGCTGGACATGTCTTTGACAAGGCGATACAAAACCGTCTCTTGGTACACTGTAGACTGGTTTTGACCCCCTTTTCGAAAAAAATTAACCTCAGTTAGCCCGTAATAGGACACTCCCAACCAAACCATTACTGATGATGGATGATGTCCATGTTGCACCCTTGGAACTTTATTTTCAGCTTCTTCAGAACTCCTAGCGTACACTGTATAATTCTGTTTATTGTACTTCTCTTCAATATCGAAAAATTTTTCGTCTTTAAAGAGGATATACGGGGGTTTTTCGCGTACCGCTTAAACAACACCCGCGATCTCTTAAGCCTTATTGCTTTTAGACGAGCATAAGTAGTGCACTCTTTTTTTGTATGCTGTAGACCAAGATCTTCATTTAAAACCTTTTTACTGTTTTCCTACTGACACCCATCTGCAAATCCATCAACTTCTGTTTTCGGACAGGATTTCTTACTATCGCGCTTGATAGCTTTGATTACTGCTGGTGTTTTGGGAGGTGGCCAGCCAGTTCTTTTCTTGTCCTCAAATGGAGACTTCAAGGTACCTATCAATAGTACCGTAACAAACCTAAGCGTTATATTCAAATTTTTGAGCAACTTGAAAATGGTACTGGGAGTGTCCACAGCGGTGCAACGCAATAACAACTATTCGGTTTATTTCAATGTCACTCCATGTGAAAAATTACGGAAAGTTATTGTTTTTTGTTTTAAAACAATAATCAAACATTCCAAAATAGAATGAATAATTTTTTTATAAAATCTGCTCGAAATGTAGAAAAATAGTAAATTGGGAATGTACATGTTTATAAAATGTTATAAATTAGTGTTTGCAAAATTTAATATCTACCTGTCGGCTTTGGTAATTTGATATTAATATCAACTTATAAGTTGTTTTTATGTCGATGAAATGTTTGATTTTGTGATATTAAGACTTAAATCATATAATTTTTTGATTTTTGTAATTCTTGTATTTCTTCGTAATTCAGGAATCCGTGAGATTAGCTTTTTAATTTGTTGTATATATTATTTTAAATACAGATTTATTAGTTTAGATTCAAGTTCTATAATATTTTTATTTATAAGATTTGGTTATGCACTTCTTGCACTTTACCCATCATATTTCTATTTTTAGTTTTTCCCTTACTAGGGTTGCCTGAAAGAGATTGCTTGTTAGAGATAAGGCTGCCTGTTGCATTCCTTAAATTTTTTATGTATCATGTTACTTATTTTTGTATAAATGTAACAAGGTGTGAATTAATAAATAAAATAAAAATTACAGTTTAGAACTTTCACACTTATAGTACTTATTAGAAAAATTAAAATCACATGTTTTCTTTGTTACAATTTCTGCAGATATGTTTTTTAAAATTACCTTGTATACAGCAGTCAACCAGTCTAATATATATTTTTTGTATTTTAATCAATATTGTATATAATATAATCTGTAGTAAAACTCATGTACTCAGTAAAAGAAGGTTATGGTAACGATGCTATATACGATGAATAATGCTGTGTATATTACAATATTGAGTAAT